CCTGCTGGAGCCCCTGGAGCTCCTGGAGCTCCTGGAACCTACTGGAGCTCCTGGAGCTGCTGGAACCTACTAGAGCTGCTGGAGCTCCTGGAGCAGCTGGAGCTGCTGGAATCTGCTGGAATCTGCTGGAACCTGCTGGAACCTGCTGGAGCTCCTGGAACCTGCTGAGGCTGCTGGAACTGCTGGAGGATCTGGAACCTGCTGGAGCCTGCTGGAGCTGCTAGAGCCTGCTGGAGCCCCTGGAGCTCCTGGAACCTGCTGGAGCTGCTGGAACCTACTGGAGCTCCTGGAGCAGCTGGAGCTCCTGGAGCAGCTGGAGCTGCTGGCTGGGTGCTGGTGGCTCTCAGAGCTGGGGAGATGCTGCAGCCCCTGGCAGACATGGACAGGGACTCTCCTGGAGGCAGTCTCCACTCTCCCCGTGCCCAAGGGACCAGGATTCCCTGCAGGATTTCGGTCCTGAGGCCTGGCAGGGCTGGAAGCAGCTCCTGCCTCAGCAGCAGCTCCAGCAGGGCAGCTCTGGGTGCTCATCCCCTCTCTGCCTCCCCCTGCAAATGCAGACCTGCCTTGGCTCAGCGCTTTTCCATTTCATTCAGCTTTAACCAGACAGTGGCATGAACACCTAACAACTCCTTTGTTTACTTCAGATTAACAAGACTGGTACTAATTATGTACACTTTCACTTCCCCTGTTTTCTTTATAAAAGCACTAATTAAGACATGATGCTCTTATCAGTGTCAAATGGCTGCTCAGCCTGGGCATCTGCAGAATTTAAGCTCTATTTGCACTTTCTCCTTTCTGATTTCTATTAAAATAAATATTGACCACAATCTCTTTTATCCAGGGATTAGAAATGAGCCTGTTTCAAACCAGGCATGGCCTTGTTGTGATTACAACAGCTCAGTGAATGTGTCTCAATTTGCATTTTTGCAGTTAAAATTAATTTCTCCTGCATTGACCAGAGCCTGCAGGAGGTTGGGGCAGAGCCTGTTGCCTGATCCAGAGCTAAATTTCAATCCTCCAAAAATTCAGTGGATTATTTGCATTGGGTGTGCAGATCAATCTGTTATTGATGTTTTAAAAAGAAAATTAGTCATTCACAACAGCCTGTAATACTGACAGGGGACCTTTTAATGCTGTGTCCCATAAGAGCACCTTTACCTCTCAAACATAAATTCAATGAATGAGACAGCAAGTTGAAAATTCCTCCATAAAGTTGGGCAGAGCTGCTGGGTTTTACATTATTTGTAAAAATGACCCCCGAGCCTTTAAAAATGCTAATTCTGGGGGGAGGAAAAAAAAGTGAAATATTACCTTCTTACCCCCATTTGTTCTCTTCAGCTCTAATTGTCCCTCTTTTCTTAATTCTGTGTTTCCCCACTGAAAGCAGCTGCTCCCCAGCAAAGAGCAAGTCTAAAACCTTCCCCAGAGTGACCCTGCCAAGGCCACTGCAGTGAAGTTGGGTCACAGGAAGATGCTGCTTGTTAGGAAAAAGACAAAAACAAACTGCAGGAATGAGGTAAGGTGTGAGATATGGGTTAAAATACTGCTAAACTAGGAATATCCAGAATTGTGAGGAAGAAAGGGACTGAAAGAGAGAGCTGAGACACTGACTGTGACTGAGGAGTGGGACAGCACCAGCACACATGGACACAAACACACCGTTCCAAAAAAAGAGATGGACAGAGGGGCATGAGAAGAGTCAACACAAGTTCAGGCACTTCACAAACGTTCACTTAGAAGGAAAATCCAGAGCAGCTATTCACACTTTTCCTTCTGAGCAGCACTGAATATTTAAAAGATTCACTTCTCCCCGAAGATCTGAAATTCAAATGCAGCCTTTATCCTGGATCTCTAAAAATGCTCATGAATATAAGCTGATTCCATTTATTGTGGCACTGAAATTCAGCTAAATTGATAATATTAACTATGAAATAGTAGATATCAAACCAATATAATATTTTAGGCTAAAAAATTATCAGTAGTGTATTGAATCCCATTAAGAATACTGGGAGAATTTAGGGAAAAGGAAAGTGCTCAAGAAATGTGGGATTTGATGAGCTCACAGAACCTTCCTAGGTCTTCACAGGTTTTTTTACATAAATAGAAACAGTCAGGAAAGCATTTGCATCCCAGTTGGGGGAAAAAAAAGCATTTTCCCACAGGACTGAAGATGAAAAAAAGAGGGCACAGGCTTAGTTCAAAACTGGAGGGAAAATGCCTCTCAACAGGTACCTTTCCTCTCCTGACTCCAAACTTTATTGCCAAATATATTTGAGAGGTGACTTGGGGCAAAACTGGTGTCCTTTCACATGACTCTGTTCAGAACAGAATACAAAGCCAGTTCTCTGTATGGTTTTTCTGTTTTTCCTATATTTTCCCATTTTCCATCACTCACCCCAGGCCCTGGCGCCATTGCTGCTGGTACAAAGCCCATCCTGCCACAGCCCATGAAAATGTTGTTTCCAAAAGCAGAGTTTGCCCTCAAACCCAACCCTCCTCTGCCCTTCCCTGTGTTTCATCTCCATGGATCTGCAGTCACTGCCCTGCATTAAAGACCACTGCAATATTTTATGGCTCCATTAAAATGCTGTCCCCATCCCTTGTGCACATCAAACCCTCTAATTATAAATAATAATAGAAACCCAGGGCAGGAACTTCCATCTGCTTTTCATTAGGTTCCTCAGCCCAGCCAGATCCAGGGACAATTAAGCAGCACGAGGAGTTCTGTGTTTGGAAATTCCTTCGTGGCAAAGAGCTTTACTCTGCACATACACAATGTCCTGGATGCTCCACACATCACATTTTGATTAAAGAAATCAAAGTTGGCCTGTTGAGAAGTGCAGCTCGTCAAGGCCAAATCTAAAACTTCACATTAATTCAACTTGAAATACCATGCTAATGTCAAGTGAGGACAACAGCTCCATGGGAGACTTTTAGGAAAGTCTCTGGTCCTTGGGGACACAGGTACAGGGAGGAAAGTCATTAATGTGGGTATTTAAGTGCATGAGCAATACCCTGTGTGTATAATGTGTGGACTGGCAAACACAAAATCAGGAATATGGGTGAGCAAAGTGCATTATCCCAGCAGTGCCACTGCCATCCCTGCAGGGCGCCCTCTGGCAGCACCTCAGTCCTGCCCCTGCCAGCTCCCTGGGCTGGGCTGGCACAGCTGCACCTGGAACTCCCTCCTGCCTTCCTCCTCTCACCCATCTCACACAGCACCTCCATCCAGCCAAGGAGCTCTGGAGTCCTCCAGCACCACATCCACCCTTCCCTAACTACAGGAGCCTCCTCCCTGCTTCTCTCCCAGCAGCTTTTGCAGCATCCAAGGAAGGAATTCCAGACTCCTCCCAACCTCACTCAGGTGCTGTCACCTGCCAAGGTGCACAGAGAATGCACCCAAGGAGTGGCACCAGGACCTGTGTGTGCAGGGTGACAGAACCAGCTGCAGCATTCCTTACATCTCAAAGCCCCTTAGAGCTCTCCTAGAGGAGCCTTTTGATGTACCCATGGAACAACCATCAGGGAAGGTCAGGGGACACCTCTGTGACTTGGCAATATCTTCCAACTTATTGCGTTCCATGATACATGGACTTGTGGTGCCAGCTTTGTACCAAACACTTCCCGGGGGAAAGTCCACTCCCCATGGTGTTGTTGAAGCCAAACAGAATCCCCTCATCCATTCTGCTCCATTATCTCCCAGCAAAGCACACCCTGCTCCCCACAGCTCAGCATGAGTGGCCTCAGTCACATTTAACAATAAACATTTGCTTGTGTTTAGGCTGCAAGCTGCTTTCCTGTTTTAGCTGATGGAGCACAGACAGGTCCTGGATCCAGGGAATGCCCATCTCTGTGCTCTGACTCCAAATCACATTCCCAGGAGTGTCAGAGGCTGGCAGTGCCCATGGCTGAGGACAGCCCTGCCCCGACCTGCAGCTCTCCACAGCACACAGATCACTGCAGAGCATTCACAGCTTGGGTATCCATGGCTTTCACCACACCCCAGAGCTCTGAGCTGATAAAATGCTGATATTTCCCTTGGCAAATGTCAAGCTTTTGAATTGCACCTATTTGTTTAAAAGTATCAAGTCAGCAATCTGCCAAGATAAGGAACATCATTAAAACAGAGAAGAGGAATGAGAAGAACACCAGTTCAACACCAACTTCCCTTCCCAGCTGCTTAACATTCTAAGAAAAAACAGCACATTGAAACTTCTTGATACTGAAGATATATAGAAATATCTTTACCTATATGAATATGGAGGTTTTTTTTTTTTTAAATTTCAGCTTCCCCACCAGTAAATTTTACAGAGATCTCAGTTATGCCAGCACACCTAATGCCAATCACTTCCAGAACACATTGAAAAGACAGGAAGGTTGACAGTAGAGTCAGATCCAAAATCCCATTCTCTATTTATTATTCCTTCCTTCAGCAGAACTTTGGATTAATTTGCCTGTTTTTCCTACAACACAGAAGTGTCCAGAAGGCAGGAGGAAGCAGATGGAGCCGTGTACCCAGAGCACAAGCAACCAGCATTCCAACTCTGTAATATCCAACTTCCTCCATTTATCCTCAAGCAGAAAGAACCTTCCAGTACCAAGGTGATCTATTCTATCTGATCAGCACAAACACTCCTGCTCATCTATGTTCTGTATAAAACACCCTGACATGCAACACTCCCTTGATCACCCAGAACTGGGATGCTTCATGGAATCTCTCTTTACAGACTTCTCAAAGTATCTTGAAATTCTGACAGGCTTAAATCCTTCAAGTCAGGCAGGAGGAGGACACTGCTCCAGGTCTGAGCAGCAGGTGAGGGACATCCAACAGTGGGAGCTCCCAGAGAGGGGCAGCGTGTGGGTCACCAACACACAGAGGGGCAGGAGGATGTGCAGGGGGTGATCAACACTCATGACACGTGTGAAGGAGGTATTAAACACAGAACACACAAAGACAACTCCAGTCCAGTTCACTGCATGAAGAAAAGCTGATTACACACCTGGTTTTGGCACCGAGTTGGTCACGGACTGAGGGACTTTGTCGTTGATGAGTTCTACACATTCACTGGGAAAGAATCCAACCTGGAGTAAAACACAAGGAGGAAATGGAGTGTTATGATCTGAAGTGTTCAACCAATACAGTAGGAGTCCTAGTAAAATATCTGTATTGTATTTGAATATCTGTGTATAGGCCTTGCCCTGATAAGCCCAGGTTGTTCTTGATTGGCTGCAGCTGTAGCTAGTGACGATAACTGGGATAAAAGGGGGTGGGTTGGCCAGTCAGGGAGAGCTTGGAAGGAGCCCTGACTAAGAAGCAGCAACAAGGAGATGTCTGTGCTGTGAAGAACTGCCCCCAAGAAATATTACTGAGACGGTACGGGACTTTAGAAATATGATTGTGACAGCATGGGACTCTAGAAATATGATAACGACAAACCAACATCTCCCCTCAACTCCCCCTGGGTGATGCTCCCTGACATTATCCAGCATCAGATGACCAGCAGGCATTGACCACTGCAGGCTCTGCTCTGCTGCCAGCACCTGAGAGAGAACAGTCTGAGAGCCCCAGGCACTGCAGGGCCTGGAGTGATTAACTTGGAATGTTAATTTGCACTGTCCCTGCACTGCCCTTTAACTCAGCATTTCTGCCTGCAACCCTTCAAGGCAGAAAGGCTGGAAAGCCCCTCTAAACCAGCCTAAGGGTTAAATGCTGTGGGAAGGATCCTAACGTGTTCTTGGAATAGGATGTGCCTGCAGAATTCCCATACTGTGACAGTAGTCACAAGGGTTGCAGGATGAAGAGAGAGGTGAGAATGTTGACCTCATGTTCAGAAGGCTTGATTTATTATTTTATGGTATACATTACATTATGACTATACGAAAAAGAAATAGAAGGAAAAGTTCTCAGAAGGCTAGCTAAGCTAAGAATAGAAAAGGAATCAATAACAAAGAAGCTCTCTTTGATTCTGTCCCAGAGAGAGCTCGGTCTTTGATTGGCCATTACCTATACACATCTAACATGGGCCAATCACAGATGCACCTGCTGCATTCCACAGCAGCAGATAACCATTGGTTACACTTTGTTGCTGAAACTTCTCAGCTTCAGCAGGAAAAATCTTAACAAAAGGATTTTAATGAAAAGATGTCTGTGACACCATACCACTCAAGAGGGGCTGCTGTATCTGGGGAGAAGTGAAATTATTTCCCTTTCCCTGTTTGAAGATTCAGGTTAAGCTGTGACCAGAGAGAAATTGAGCACTCCCCTGCATTCCCACCTTCTCTCTTATTTCCCAGCAACTTTCTTCTTACTCTCATCCCAGATGAAAGTCAGACCAGAGCAGACCTTTGGTAACTTTAATCCATGGTGCATCTTTCCCCACCTTTTCTCTGTGTTGCTTCCCCCAGCACAGCTGCTGTATTGTGAGATGGAGCTCAGGCACCAGCACATGCCCAGACTCACCTGAGGCAGGGCAGATTCCCTGTCCCACTGTGACTGGGACAGCTGGGAGCCCCAAGTCTGCTCAAACGCCACAGGAGCATGAGGGAAAGAGCCAGAGGATGGCCCCAAGCTCATCTAGGCAGGACTGTGCCAGTCATGTTGGCACATCCATGAAATCCTCTGCAGGCACAAGGGCAGCCAGCACCAAGCCTGGCAGACACTCCCTCCTCTATTCATTCATCTTACACAATTCCCTTTTTGTCTCCATGGAGAAAGATTGATCTCCTTCCTACTCCAAGCTGATTTTCACCCATCAACTTCCCACCAGTTTGGTGGCAGTGTCATGTGTGGAGTGTCCAGACTGAAGTCATCCCAAATTCCCCAAAGGAAGCAAGAGTTACCAGAGCCCACAGGCCAACATCCAGCAGGGCAGTGCCCTGCCCAGGCACAAGGATGAGCTGTCACCCAGCACACAATGTGAAATTTTTCCAATTATTTTTGAAATAAACTGTTGTCAGGACTCTGAGCTCAGGGCAGAGCCTGCAGGAGCAGCCCTCAGGCTCTGAGCTGGGGTTGCTGTACCTGGGACTGGCCTGGGCATCACAGGAGACTCACAAAACCCAAAATCCAACACCAGGCATGGCTGCACCAGCCACTGCCTCAGCTGGGTATGCCAGCTCTGCAAGGACATGGGGTCTTGGAGTTATGGAACACAGAGGGGATTTTAGGGCAGTTTATAGACAGAAATGTGCCCATTAACACAAGAAAGGGATCATGAGCAGCAGCATCACAGAGAGGCCCCTCCTCTGGCAGCTCCTGCTCAGGGCCCTGCTCTGCTGGGAGATGCCAACAGGCTCTGCCATGGACACTGAAGTGCTGCTGTTTAAACAAAATACATTTCATGGTTTTCCATCATGGAATCCCAGGATGGGCTGGGTTGGAAGGGACCTTAGGGATCTTAAAGATCCTTGCCAAGGGCAGGGACACCTTCCCCTGTCCCAGCTTACTCCAAGCCCCAATGTCCAGCCTGGCCTTGGGCACTGCCAGGGTCCAGGGGCAGCCACAGCTGCTCTGGGCACCCTGTGCCAGGGCCTGCCCACGCTCACAGGGAGGAATTTCCTCCTTATATCCAACCTACATTACCCTTTTTTCATTTTGAACATTCCCCCATGTCCAGTCACGTCAGTTCCTGATGCAAAGTCCCTCCCAGACACTGAAGGTGCCCTGAGATCTCCACACAACCTTCTCTTCTCTTCCCCAGACTGAACTTCAACACTTCACTGTGGCTGAGAGCCTCTGCTGAACATTGCCCATGTGAGAGATACACGAGGCAATTTTTAAATTAGGAAAAATGCACAGATCCAGGGAAAGTCTCAGCCCACCACCCAGACATCATCTGGGACACTGCACAGCTGGAGTGATGAAGTTTCTTCCATTTTCAGTAACTGCCCACACTGTCTGTGTAAAGAAACCTGAAGTCTTGGGACCCCAACCTTCCATTATTCCGGATCTAAAACCAACCCAAATCTGGATCTAAACCCAACCCAGATCCCACACTGTTGAACATTGAATCAAATGCTGGACATGAAATCAAAACTCATTTGCCTTTGCCTGTTAACACAGTATTTCTCCTGTTCCTGGATGCACTGTACAACACACTAACCAGGAATTCAGAAATGAAAGGATACCCAGATACCCCAGAACTTTCCCAAATCAAACATTCTACCTGCTCTCCATGTATCACTTTTGTCATGTTCACACCAATAATTACAATGGATTTTTAGGGGCAAAGAATTGTGCTGGCTCCCTCATGTTAACTCACTGCAAGAAATTATTTACATTTTCACACTGACTTACTCTAACTTCTTGCAAGACCCCCAGGAGATCTTTGTTGGAGTTATAATCCACAATTTGTGCCTCATTCCCACCCACTTAAAAGATGATACTTCTCCTCCTATGGGAAGTTTTCCATGATTTTATATCAATAAATGAGTTTAGTCCAAGAGCTAATCTCAACAGATGTAGCAAGGCACTACTAGAGCTTGAGCCAGGATTAAAGGATTTGGGAACACACGGAAAATGAACAGCCAGAGTAGTATATATTTAGATAAATGCAAGGTCATCTAAAGGTTAAATATATCACCACATATATACCTTCAGCAGAGGAGGAAGGTACAGGCTGCTGGTGCATGAGAACTGCTCTGCACCACCTACTACAGCTTTATCTTTTCACTTCTGGGACAGGGGCTGCTAAAACTGGGGGCACAGGGGCTTTAAGGGGAAAAGTCAGAGTAACAATGGTAATCTTCAGTATGGGGAGGGAATTCAAACAAATGAGGAAGTACCTGCAACTTAAATGGCAAATGAAACATTGAGACATTTAGATTGCTTTTTTGGGTCTGACATAATCTACAGTGTGGATTCAATTTTAGTCAAAAAGTTTTCTCTTTTCCTTTTAAATCTGATGATAGTCTAGCAAAACCTGACAGGGAAACTGCAACTTTTTATGGCCTATTTGGCCTTCCTGAGGAGAGTTTTCACTGAGTCTTTGCCAAGTGACTGCACAGAGAGCAGGGCAGCCTCACCTCATTCCCAAAGGAGCCCCTGCTGAGATGCTCTTGCACTTTAGGGCACTACAAACAGGAAGAACAGGATTATTACTCCTCTTACCCTGAGCTCCTGTTACAGAGAGTTGAACACCTGGGCCATAAAATCATTTTGGTTTCTTTTATTCACAAAAAGAAATGTCTGTTTGGGATGGTACGTGCTGATTATCCATTCCTGACTGGTGTGCCAGCAGCAAAGCAGAGAGCTGGAGAGGCACTTTGGACAAGGACAGGACACAGGGAATGGCTCCCACTGCCAGAGGGCAGGGCTGGATGGGATATTGGGAATTGTTCCCTGAGAGGGTGGGCAGGCCCTGGCACAGGGTGCCCAGAGCAGCTGTGGCTGCCCTGGATCCCTGGCAGTGCCCAAGCCAGGCTGGATGAGGCTGGGACAGTGGAAGGTGTCCCTGCCCATGGGAGGGGTGGGACTGGATGATCCCCAAGGTTCCCTCCCAACCCAAACCATCCTGGACCTCTGTGGAACTGGGACCTGCAGTCTCACAACCAACTGAAGCTGCTGCAATCACAGTGGGATTGAAATCAGCCCAGTCCCCCCTGGCTGCACACCCTGGTTTTGTCACCTCTCCAGGCTGTGGGGCAGCTCTCCACCTCAGGAAACTACTCCCAAAAACCAGAATAATTCAGGACAACCAAGGGCAGTTATGCATCAAACAAGGGCCTGTCCCCAATGACTCAGCTCCCTGACACAGAGCTGATTGAAAAGACAAAGCACGAAGCAAAAGCAGAGCAGAACAAAGAGGGCTGAAGGCTGTTAATGTGGAGGTGGCTGCAATTTAGGTAACAATCTTACAGAGAAAGCACTGACTCACACTGAGGGCACTGGAGAGAAAAAAGCTTGAGGAAAAAAGTCTTAAAAATCATTTTACTTGAAGCAGAGCAAATGCTAAGAAGCCTGGTGGGTTGTTTTGTTCACACAGGATTAGGTGTGTTGCAATGCAGTCGTGAGCTCAGGTATGCAGAGAGCACAGGCACTGTGCCAGGGCAGTGTGATGGACACAAAGCCAGAGAGTCATCCCTGAAGGACAGCTCTGACTGCCATGCTGAATCCGAGCTGCAGGTGCTTGCAGCCTGGCAGAGACAGTTCTTGGCTCACATCTGCAGAGCTGCCTCCAGTTCCTCACCACAGCCCTCCCATTGTCCCAAGGGATGCAGGACAGGCAGGAGAGAAGGCACTTCACTCACAGCTGCTTCAAATGCACAAAACCAGGGAGTTCCTTTAAGTCCAGAAGTAGTTTGTTCCCCTTTCAGCAAAATGAGAAATTTTTCCCCCTGTTCTTGCTTTCCTCCTATCAAGACATGATTTCTAATGGAAGCTGTGGTTGGTTGATAAAACCCTGCTCCTCCCTAACATAAAGCAAAAAGCCAAGAAATAACAGGACAAGCTGTCCAAACATTTGGTGGCAGGACCTCCTCCTTTATCTGCTCTCAGAATCACAACTATCTGGCAAGAGGGGCTCTGTTGATTTATTAATTCAAATGACTGGATCAACAGATTGCTATCACTGCAATGTTCCTAAACAGGGACAGAACTATTTGCCTCTAACAAATGCTTTAGAGGCTGCACAGCTTCATCTGTGCCTACACCTCTTGCTGTGACAGCATTCTTCACCTACACACTCTTTCAGAGCATCCATCAAGGACACCTCTGCCTGTAACTCATCTCTAGGTCTGGTGTAGCAACACCAGAGATAAATTCCCTTTCTCTGAATTCTTACTGCTTCTATCATCTAAAGGCTTCATTCCATCAGCAAATGTACATTTTCAGTACATTTAGAGCTCATGAGCCTTAAACTCAACACACAGGTTAAGACTGAGCAAACCCAGCTCCTGGAGCTGTGGGAACACAGAGCTGCATCTCCATGGTGTGTTTGGCTGTCACCTGCTCACACTGTGACCACTCCTGCCTGTCATAAAGGACACAAAATTATTCCAGCCCTAATTTTCTGTTAAGCCAGAATACAGTGCTGAATTTCTGCAGCTGCTCATATCTGTTGTGTCGGGACCTGACTGTGCAGGGACACAGAAAAGCCCCTTTTCTGGCAGTTTGCTCATTACCATGTTTTTATGCTGGGAAAACACAACAGGACTGCTGTGATCAGAGGCACAAAGCTGCGACAAACTGCAGAAGGGCTGCCTTCCATCAGCAGTGCTGTTCTCCAGACCTGGCCCCAGTGTCAGCCAGCCCCAATAATGGATGGGATCTACACCCCACAAAGGGCTTCCAAGCCCTGTGCCAAGTGCCCACACTCAGGCACAGACCACAGAGTACATTTGTTTTACTTCACTGATTCACTTGGAAGTTAATCATGGCATAGGCTGATCATTCCAAGCAGTACTACAGCATTTAATTGATTGGGGGTTGGAACTGATGTCTGAGGTCCCTTCCACCCCAAGCCACTCTGATTCTATGACAGCACAGCATATTCAGCTTTGAGGCTTCTAAGACTAGAACACAAGTCCAGCAAAGGCACAGCACAGTTCAGAAGCAGCAGTCTGTTCAACTAGTACCAGTGTGTTGACTCTAGAAACAAAGGAAACTTCAGAGCAGGTACTCATGTCCATGCTGCTCTGACTTTACAAAGGAGATGTCACCTGAACTCCCACACCTGACACAAAACCAACACAAGCTGTGTCTCAATGCCCTGGCTGAGCACTAGGAGGGTGTAAGCCTCCACATCCAGGGGTGCACCACACTGCACCTAGCTGGGACTGGGACATCCAACTGCTGGGCATGGACAACAGCAGGGCCACAGCCTGGCCTGGCACGGAAAGGGCTATCAGGGAAAACATGAGGAGCCTTCAGAAGACTTTCCATGCCAAATTACAGAAGTGTCTGGCCAATCCTGAGCCTCTGCAGAGCAAACTCCTCATCCCACCCACTCACAGGCAGCAGCTGCAGATGGAAATCCCTGTGGCTGAAATGTGAGACAGCACAAGTCAGCCCCCAGTGGCTCTGAGGTTTGCTTGGTTAAAAGAGACTTTTAAAGCTTTTACATTTCCTAGTGGCAAAATCCAAAGGGTTAAAAACTCCTTGGAATGACAGTGCCATTTCAACACACAAGGTTTGGTACCCAATCCCCAGACATGCTCAGCCTCCATCTCTGTGCTGTGATGTTTACAGGGACCAGCACCCCTGACAGCACACACTGAACACAGGCATGCATGGGTGGCTTGTCTAAGTCTGCAGCACTGTTTCCTCAGCTGGAATTCTCCAAATCCTCTCTGTTCTGCCTGAGCTGGTTTCAGCTACTGCAAGAAGGGGATGATGTGAGTAACAGTGTCAGCTGCCTTGGAGGGGGTGCAGCACAAGCTTCCAGTGCCATCAGGCCAGCTGTCCATCACAGGCCGTGGCCAGCCCTCCTTCCTGGGGTGAGGGAGGAAGGAAGCTTCCAGTGGACATTCTGTGTGTGCTCCAGAGAGAAGGGGAGCCCCCTGACACCAAGGCAGGGACACCCTGCTTGTCCCCTGAGCCACCCTCAGCTCCAGGAACACAGCACTGAGGCTCCTGCTGCTTTTGCTCCAGCCCCACTGCCACGGCTGGGCTGCTGCCTACCTGGAACCCGTGCTTTCCTCTCCACCACGAGGTCAGCTCCTTCGGTGGCATGTCGATGACAGACACGATGTCCCCCACCTGCAAAAGGTTGACAGCATCAGACACAACCAGGAGGAGAGCACAGCTGCCATAACCACAGTCTGAGCACTGCAAAAACCTGCACAGCTCTGGAGCAGCTGCACATCTGCCTTTGCAGAGCAGAGCTGTGGGGTGGCAGAGTTCCTGCCCTGCCCAGCACACAGGGTGCAGCTGCTCCTAGGGAAAGGAGGCTCCTGGGAAGGGCTACTGAGGCTTCTGGTGAAACTGCAGAGATGGTGGGGAGCACTTGGGAGTATCCGCTCCAGTGGCTGAACTGAATTTTACTGCCCTGCCCACGAGTCTGCAGGCACTGGATGTGTCCCCTTGCTCCCTCTCTCAGCAGAGTGAAGAGCTGCCTTGGCAGCTCCCAAAGTGCCCCAGGTGAGCTGCCCAGGGCTAGGAATTGAACACAGGAGAAGTGGTGCTACAGCCACAGGATGGAAAATGGCCAAGGTCACCAGACAGGCTTTCTGAGGCTTTGCTCATTCCCATAAAAATGCAGTACTGCAGTAGTTCAAAAGGAAATCAGTACCATCAATACTAAATTTGGCTTGGTTTGAATCAAGCTCTGTGTGGCCTCTATTACAGAAAATGAGAAAGGGAAGAACCTAAATAAATACTGCAGGTATTCCAGGTAGGTGGGCAAAAATTCATGCCAGTAATGCCCAACTCTCACCTGATATTTTACACTGATGGATCTCAAAGTGTTTTACAGAAAAGGCAACACATTCCCAGTTTGCAGACAGGGATGACTGAGATGTGGGGAGATTATTTCCTCCAGGGAACAGTGAATCAAGAGCAAAGCAAATGTCCATGAAGGAAACTGCTGCCACCACAGGAGCAGAGACACTGAGGATGTTTCTCAGAACTGGGGGCAAACCCCAGACAGCTGCTTGTGCAACTGCCTACTAGAAATTTAGAATAATAAACACAGAGATAATCTGGGTTAGGGAACAGGACTCAGCATCATAAACCCCTGTTCTGTGCCAGTTCTGCTGTGGTGTCTCAGTGCACACCCTTGGAAACTACACGTGCCTCAGTTTCCCTTCTGCACAGAGCAAGATTTACAGCAGGGAGTGTCATTTCAGTGCTCCCATAAGCTGACAAGCAGCCTGAATCCTGTGCTGCTTGGAGCCCAGCTCAGAGCTGCCATGCCCACACAGTTCTTTGGGGTACACTAATCCTTGCCTTGATTTGAACATGAACAAAGCCCTGGCAGCACCAGACTATCACTGTTATTTTTCCTTCCTGTGCTGCACACCAAGGATGTGATCACAGAGCTCCCCAGGGCACTGCTTTCCTTCACACATTTTGTAGAAACAGCACCATTGCACAAGGCAATCACTGCTTTTTGGGTGAAACAGACCAACCAAAAACTTCCAGGGTCTGATCTGGAGATCTTGGATGGGATGTGGAGCAACCTGGGCTACTGCAAGGTGTCCCTGCCCATGGCAAGGGGTGGAATGGGACAGGTTTTAGGGTTCCTCTCAAGTCAAACCATGCTGAGATTCAGGGGTTCACTCCACAGCAGCTCCTGTGCTAGATTGGCAGGCCAGTTTTAGCTCATCACTTGCCCTTCAGGCAGCAATCCTTTGCCAGTCTGGTTCTTTACTTCTCATGGGGGCAGAAGCTCTTAAAAATGGTTATGGACAGGGACTTGCTCAGAGAGTGTGTGCAACCTGGGCAAGGAGAAATGAAACACACAGGGACAACGATCCTGAACAGAAAACATGTGGGCTCTACTCAGGGACAGCCCAGAGGAGCTGGCAGGAGCTGGTTAATCACAAGATACTAATGCCAAGTAAAGCTGTATTTTAAAGATGACTGAACATCTGCCCATATCCAACTCGTTGCAGATCGAATATTTAACTCAATCTTCCAAGCTTCATTTCACAAAACATTGTGGAAGTGTCTGGACATATTCCCGATGGGCACACAGACAAACAGATTACACTGATCTGGAGCTGACAACAAGGAAAGCAAGCGCTTTATTTACCTCAAAGGACAGTTCATCTGCTGCTTGAGCAATGTATCTCTTAATGACATGGGCAGCAGCAATAGCAGGGACGTTAATGGATGATTCCTCATGGACCAGCAGGTGATTCCCCTTGTTATCAATCTGAAACAAAGAGCACGGGGGACTGTGAGGCAGCTGAGGACAAGTGAGGAAGCATTTTAGTGGTGCAAAGGCTTCAAGCTGATTGAGAGAGACAGCCCAGCCCTGGGCCCCAGGGGAGAGGGCACAGCACAGCCAGAGCAGCTCCCTGGGCTCCAGAGGGTCGGCTGTGCCCACCCAGAGGAGAGAAACACTGCCTTGCTGCAGCTCTGTGTGCAAACAGTAACACACACTGAGGGGCTGCAGCTCCCTTTCACACCAAAGCATGCTGGTTCTCCATGGCAATACAGACGTGCTACAAAAATCCTCTATGAGGTGGAATTAATGCTCAAGGTACTGAGGCAAGGAGAAAATGCTGTCAATCCAAAAACTAGCGTTGCTTTCAATTTTCTCCCACCCTTTTATTTATTTTTTTAAAGAAAACATGCACCCCCCCTTGCAATCATCAGCATACTTCCAAAACTCCCAGGTTTCTGTGTAAAATTATGTAGGATTCTCAGTAAGTCACAAAGGTTACTCTGCATTGGGTTTGCTGTGATCTCCAGGCCTACTGTGTTGCTCTGAATGCTACATCCTATTTCTCCCTACAGCTTCCTCCCTCCCTTTGCTGCTTTCCAAGATTTTTCTCATCCTAAGGGATTTCAGGGTGAGAAGGATATCAGTGGGGAAAATTGCAGGAAAACACACTCAATCCTTATCAGATCCATTGAAAAAGGAGCTGCAAGTCTATTAATAGCTGTTTCTATTCCTGGTGCGCAGCAGTGGAAAGCCACACGTCTGCAGGCAGCCTGAGCAAGGACAGCTGGACACTCCCCAGCCTGCCCTGCCCTCATCCCCACCAAGGGCTATTGTTTAAAGGCTACAGGACCATGAAAGCTGAAAGCAGAGCTGCAGCTGCAGTTACAACACACAAACTGTGCACTGCAGGCACAAGGCTGCCTCTGTCTGCAGGGGAGCCAACAGGAGCACGGAGTATTTACAGGGTTTGGAGCTGCCACAGGGAAAAATGATTCAGAAAACCAAGAGAGCAGGGAAACACCATAACAGAGACAGCTGAGTTTTAGAAATGTGCCACAGTTGCAGCATTGCCTTGGTAAAAAGGAGAGCAGGAATAAGTGAGCTTTGAAACAAATGAGCCTTCTGCAACCCATCACTGGGAGATCCAGCCCTGAGCCCAGCATTCCCAGGCAGCCCTGGGACTGCCACCTCCTCTGTTGGTGAATATCAGCAGGACAATCCATTTCTGAGAGACAAAACCCAGGTTACAAGGGAAAAAACTCTATACTCTTAATAGTGGTTCTGATCCTGTGTGTCCCACACCTTCTACATGCTGGTAATAGGGGAATGTAAAACTTTCAGGATAGAATTTCAGCAGGTCTGGAAAGAGCAGATGTGTGCCTGCTGTGTTTCCAAGGTCAGGAAACGAGGAACACCCCAGGGTTGTGCTGTACCTCCATCCACGTGAGGGCAGGGCCACAGTTGATCTTGTTGCCTGCGATGTTGGAGAGCCGAGCCAGGTAAGCCATCAGCATCTGGGTGACCAGCTGGGACACAAACACACACACAGTGGTTCTGTCAGTGCACCTGCCTTTGGAGAGCCTCCTGCAGGCTTAGGGAGGACCAGAAATCCCCCACAGCCACAGGAAAGGGTTACAGAGACATGTTCCCTTCTGCACATAAATGCATTTCTGTCGTTCCAAGGACAGCAAGCTACACACAGGGTTATAATGGTTACACCAAAGACAGGATAAAGAAGCAGCTCTCTGGGAAAGTAATAACGTTATTATCATCATTTTGTAACACGAATTTTTGTAATTCATGCAGATTTTCATAACTTCCCTTGTCAAGATACCTGAAATTTAAAGCTTTGCCCTCATCGTGGACACACACACACAAACAACTCATGACTTAGGGCCACCAAACACCCCTGAGAACCACCCAGTGAGGAACCCCTGAGTGCTCCTCAGTGAACACCCCTGAGTGTCACCAGTGAACATCCTCAGTGTCACCAGAACACCCCTGAGTGCCACCCAGTGAACATCCCTGAGTGTCATCAGAACACCCCTGAGTGCCACCAGTGAACATCCCTGAGTGTCATCAGAACACCCCTGAGTGCCACCAGTGAACATCCTCAGTGTCACCCCTGAGTGTCACCAGTGGACACCCCTGAGTGCCACTTCCACACGCCTGCAGAGCCCAAAGAATGCAGCACCTCAGAGTGACCCCCTGGCCAAAGAGTAACATTTCAAGCAGTAGAAGAGGGGTTTAAAAATACACTTTGCCATGTCCCTTCTGTAACAGTAAACTGGTTTTTATTACAGAGAAGCCACTGAGGTCCTTGCAGAGTCTCCCAGTGACAGTGGTATAAAGCAGCATTGTAGCCCAGAATCTGTAGGACTGTTTAAAACATTGTTCTCCTCAAACATCTGTTCCAACGTGGCCAATTGAAAATAAAAAATATATGATGAGACACCCCACAGCTGCAGAGCTGTACAGCATCTCCACATCCTCTGTGCTTGCAGACAGAATGCAGATTTTCAGGCTCTTGCTCTAAAGTCCAGTTAAATTGGTGGTACAAGTAAGGATGCAAGAGACAGGAATGCCTAAAATATAATTAAAAGTAAACCAGGAATTCGTTGTCCTGAATATTGCTGCTTCTACTGAATCTAAACTTTAAATCCTCCTCAGAAATACCCTGTGTGAAACCAAAGCAAGTGTTATATCAGTCTCTCTGCTGAGTGATGGGGCTGCATGGTCAGTTCCTTAAATTCGATGGCAAACACCCTATAAATCCAGGAGGTACTAATTTCAGTGTCCACATCCTCCAAAACAATGCAGCCATGATTCACCTGCTGCTTTCCAAGAGATTTTTCTTGGAGAATAAATCTTTCAGTTATCAGCAGTGAGAAGCTGAGGTAATTTCATCTCATCATACTCTGGGTGAAGATAGCAAGCCAAGAAATGAGAAATATCTCTTTGAGGAAAAAAAAAACCTCATTGAGGAAAAAGAGCTTTTCAAAGACCATTTAAATAACACACTAATGCAACTGCTCTTAAAAAACACTTCAGGAATACTCAGTTTAAAATGGAAGCCTAGCACTCCAAATGGGATTCTGCTTGCAGTGCAGCAGCCTCAGACAGCATGATTCCCTGGGAGTGCTGAGTTGTTAACACTGAGCCAGAAAATACCCACAACACTGACAAAGTCTGCAAAGACAAAACCAAATTCACATCTAAGGGAACACAGGACAGCAGCTTTCCTGACACTCAATTACCATTCCAGATTCAGGAGCTTCATTAATTTGTCTGAACTTGCAGGATATTTCCCTTTAGATCACTGAAATTAGGGGTGGAAAACATTTGACTTTATTCGTGGTAGCCAATTTTCAAATGTAGCCCAGGCTGCATCACAACTACTCTCTACTAGAAATAAGTATACTGATTACTAGTATATTACTAGTATTACTAGTATTAGATATTACTACTAATTATAGTAATATAGTAATAGTATTATAGTAATCTAATAATAGTAATATTGTAATTATATATTCTAGTATTAGAATATAATACTAGTGTATAATACTGGAATATACACACAATATGATGTTGCAGTGTGTTGCAATTTCCTGTTTTAGACTTCCCAGTCCCTTCCCAGGTGTGGCAATACCTCTCTTCCTCCTCTTCCCCTCGCTGGGCTGTCAGTCAGTTTTAACATTCCAGCAAGGCCTCGTGTGGTTGGTCAGGTTCAAAGGATGCCCCCAGGCCTGGGGATCATTGGCCTGTCTGTGTGTCCCTCGTCCCCTGAGACCCTGCCCCTCCCACCTGCTTGGTGCTCACCTGTCCCTTCCCTCCCCCTGTCCCTGGGCCTAAATTCAGCCAGGGCCATGTGGTCAGCATTCTGTTGGAGCTGTTAGCAAGATTCAGATGTCTGTGACCATGGAATAAACTCTGGATTAAACCCTCCACCAGAATCCATCTCCTTTTCCTCTTCACCCTTGCCTGAAGCCCTTCCACCTGAGGTAAACTGAGTTTCTACAAGCCTGGGTTTGTTTCAGTGCCCAGCTGCAACACGGTCTTTTTAAAGACCATTTAAATAACACACTAATGCAACTGCTCTTAAAAAACACTTCAGGAATACTCAGTTTAAAATGGAAGTCTAGCAGTTCAAATGGGATTCTTCTTGCAGTGCAGCAGCCAGCCAAAGGTGTCTCTGAGGTGAAACACCACAGCTGCTGCCTTTGACCCAGCAGCAAGGGCCAGACAAGTTCAGGCACAATCTACCTGGTAATATTGGGATCTTATTCCAGTAATACTCTGTGAGAATACTCTGTGTACCAGAAATACATGGAATTGCTGAGGCTGGAAAAGACCTCTAAGTCCACCAACTACACCATGTCCCCACGTGCCACATCCAGACACTTCTGAACACTTCAAGGGACACTGACTCCACCACTGCCCTGGGCAGCCCCCTCCAATGCCTAACAGCCCCTCCCACGATGGAATTGTCCCTGATACCCAACAAACCTCCCCCAGAGGTCCCTCCTTGCCCGAGCCCCACGGCTGGGGGTGCCCTGGGTGCCCCTTACCTCGGGGCTGTCCTTCAGGGCATCGGAGCGGGGCAGCTCTGCCAGCTGCGAGAAGCGGCGGTCGTAGATGCACAGGTGGAGGTGTTTGTCCAGCACCCGGAAATCCTCATAGCTCCTCTTCACAATCCAGCTCCTGCCCTGCACACACAAACACAGCCAGTCCGTCACAGAGGGGCACGAGAGGGAAACCTGAGCACAAACAGCACTTTCTCCTTGAAACATCTGAAAGCGATCAAAGTGCCCTAGCAATATGCTCGTGGTTTAATTTGCAGGTAACATTCTCATGGTCTAATTTGCAGGTAACATTCTCATGTTTTAATTTGCCAGTAACATTTTCATGGTTTAATCTTCAGGTAACATTTTCATGGTCTAATTTGCAGCAGCCATTCATGTTCAAACCAGCCATTAGTGGTCCTGTTTTTAATTATTTAACCATGGGTTTGGATGTGGCCCAGCAGCATGAGACCCATCCAGAGCTTTAACTTCCACCTGTTTTACAAGGATTTTGTAGCATTTTCCTACACAAGGTGTCCTTGCACAAATGTAAATCACCAAGTGGTTGTATAAACAGCATGAAATTAGATTCCAAGCAGATAGAATCATATAAACCCAGAGATCTGAAAGCAGGATTGAAGCTTGCAAAATTTCTGCCAGGTGCCCCAGGCAAATCTTCAGCTGAATTAAGAAAACAATCCATGATGAACAATTCTAGCTGCAGATTTATTCCTGAGTGCATATCATTTCCCCAATTAAAATATAGACAAGATACAGACTGCTCCAGGGGACAAGGAAGGGACTGTGGCAGCACAGAACAGTTTCCTTTGTGAAGCTTTTAATATCTAATGATGACTTTTAAATGCTGCATGGCCTATTATGGTCAATAAAAAATGTTGTAATAATGCAGCAGTTTACAGGCCAAAGCACTTTATGAAGAGTCATTAATCACAGAATCCCAGAGTGGTTTGGGATAGAAGGGAACTCAAAGCCCATCCAGTGCCACCCCTACCATGGGCAGGGACACCTTCCCCTGTCCCAGTTTGCTCCAAGCCCTGTCCAGGCTGGCCTTGGACACTGCCAGGGACGTGGAGGGAATGAAGGGATGGGATTGCTCTGGGTTACACGGGCACTCAGAGGCAGTGCAGGGACTGGAAGTGACACAGGGATGCCTGAAAGTGGAGCAGAAAGTAGGGGATGCATGGGGTAACACAAAGGGGACAGAGCTGTAAATGCTGACCTGCTGTGCCTGGCTGGCAGGGCTCTGCCAGGTGCCCTCTCCCCTGGGATACAAAAGGCATGGCCTACTCTGAATTCCCAGGCATAATTCCCCTATGCTGATTTCTTTATCAGCAAAGTTCTAGGCATCAGTTTTACATTAATATCCAAAGCCTGTGAGGCAACTGCAGATATAAACCCTCCAATCCAGCTACATCCTGTCCCAATGATTTAAGACAATTCCACACTGTGACTGTGTCCATAGACACTGCTTTCAATTCATGAGAAATCACCATATTTCACAATCCTACAAAGAGGCACCTACCCAGGATAAATTATTTGGGATTTCCACATTATGTCATTTCACTTCTGTCTGTAGGAGAAAAACAAAACCAGGAGTGCAAGGCTAATTCTGTTCAGGGAGATGTCAGCCTTCCCCATTTCTCCATCTTTTGCAATTAAGGGATTCTTGCTCTCTCACTGAGCTGCCAGTGTGACCTTCAAGGTTCAGTCACCAACGTAGGGAACAGCAGCCTGAGAAATCCCTGTGATCCTGGATCTGCCTCTGCCACACACTGGGCATTTCATTCCCAAACAACAAAATGATCTGTCAAACGTTCCTGAACCTGTCACTGATTCCATTCTATTTCATTTTAAAGGCTGGCCTGGAGCTTTGCAGCCTGGCTGCCACGAATAAGGGCAGGAAGAGTTAAAAGCAGCCGGGAGGCAGAGCTGGGTCAGCCCTGCTGTGCCAGGGCGTGCAGGATCCCACAGCACCCCGGCCACAGGGCTGACAGCAGCAGGAGAAGCTGATGGATGAGCAGGGACAGCTTACCCCACAGCAGCAGAGTCTCTGGCCCCACAGGAGGCTCCTGGAGCAGGGCAGGCAGCAGAGCCGGAGCGCGGGCAGGAACCGGGATCTGGGCTCCTGCACCTCCAAACTGCAGCTCGCAGCTGCTAAGCAACCAGCAGAGCTCTCCTGAGCTCTCCCATCCCTGAGGTATCCCTGAGCCATCCCTGAGCTATTCCTGAGCTCTCCTTGAGCTCTCCCATCCCTGAGCTCTCCCTGAGCCACCCCTGAGCTATTCCTGAGCTCTCCCTGAGCTCTCCCATCCCTGAGGTATCCCTGAGCCATCCCTGAGCTCTCCCTGAGCTCTCCCATCCCTGAGCCACCCCTGAGCTCTCCCTGAGCCATTCCTGAGCTGTCCCACCCCTGAGCTGTCCCTGCCAGCAGCCCAGGCTCCAGGAGAGGGATGCTGTGGGTGCCTGGAGGCCAGAACCTCATCCCCATTCCCAGGTCACTCAGCCCAGGATCGTGGACATCATCAGGCTCTTGTGCAAAAGGATCACAGTCTACTTCATGGAATCATGGAATATCCTGAGCTGGACCCACAAGGATCATCATTCCACCCCTGTCCCTGCCCAGACCCCCAGCAATCCGACCCTGTCCATCCCTGGCAGTGCTGCCCAAACCCTCCTGGAGCTCTGGCAGCCTCGGGGCTGTGCCCATTCCCTGGGCAGCCTGGGCAGTGCCAGCGTATAGTAGGAGTTCCAGTAAAATCTATGTATTGTATAAGTGGCCTTGCCCCAATCCTAGTTGTTCTAGATGGGCTGCAGCTGTGATGTCCCTAACTGGGTGGCAGCTGTGGCCAGTAAAGATAACTGGGATAAAAGGGGGTGGGCTGGCTGGTCAGGGTGAGCCTTGGAGGAGCCCTGACAAAGAAGCAGGAACAACACTGCTGTGAAGGGCTGCTTGTGAGAAAGCCACCCAGAAGGTATGGGACTCTAGAAACATGATAACAACAACAGGACAACAATACCAGCACCCTCTGGGGAAGAATCTTTCTCTAAATCCAGCTTAAACCTCCCCTGGCACAGCTCCAGCTGTTCCTCAGGTCCTGTCACTTGTCTCAGAAGAGCTCAGCAGCTGCCCCTCCACCCAGGCTGCCCATTCCTGTCTCACTCACAGCCATGCACAGGCTGTGCTGGCACAGAGCAGCACCTCAGGAGCAATAACACACATTTCCACCCAGCAGAATGTTATTCCAACACCCTAAAGGGGAATATTTGCCAATATTCTACAACTTTAAGCCTGGCATAACTAATTTCTAAAAGCTCCCATGCTTTAGGCTGCACTTTAAATTGTATTAAGCCAAGTTTTTTGCAGATTTGGAGCCTGAGTGATGAATTTTTAAGCCGCATTTATATGGGATGCAATGAATTTTACTGCAGCAATCGAGGAAGGAACTGGACAGTATTTAATGCTTCCCCTCAGATCTCCAGCACAGGAAAGCACAGGCTGGATTCTCCCAGCCAGACTCCCAGAGAGCCACAGCCAAAGCAGCAGCAGCCTCATCCAGATCCAAAGTACCACAAAGCTTTCCATTATAACTAGAAACCACAGAATATACCAATATAAAAACTGTACACCTTGCTCCCCTTTCCTGCAAATTCGCAAGCACCAGAAAGGTTTGGCAAAAGGATTCTTTTTAAATTTAGAGCTAACAAAATATTAGATACACAAGTAAGTGCCTGTTAAGTTGGTCTTGTGTTGTTAACTGTATTTTATATCAAAGCTCATCATTTCTGGGGCTTCAGGCACTCAACATCCATATGGCAAAAATGTCCTCTTCATGTTTTTAATGATTTCCATAAACTGTTGCTCAAATAAATTTTTGACCAATGAAATTTCTCATTTTCTAATTCAATAATTACTTTTCATTTCCATAATTATTAATTGTCCTGATTTACAGAAGCACAAGCTTAAATCCCATTCACTTCAGTGGGACACAAGAGGTGAAGTTAAGCACCAAGTGATTTCCCAGATTCAGACCTTCAACTACAAACCTGGCTGTGACAAAATTCTTTAAAATAAAAAAAATCAAATATCAAGTGAAGATTTCAATAATGCCATTATGTAGTTTCAGGATCTTTAAAAAGAAAAATTGACCAGTGACTTAAAAACAAGTTCCTCTTGAAAAAAAATCAAAGTATTTTTTGATATTGCTTTTTACAGAAACATTCACAATGAAAAGCATCATGAAGAATCTGGAATTTCTCTCACAATGGAAAATCTGGTCTCATCCCTGGTCTTTTCCCATCCTGATCTGCTCTCCCTCGCTCTGCTGGGTAGGATGAGACGCTGCTGAGATTTCAGCCTCTGCACAGAGCTGCTGATCTTTTCCTGATTACCAAAGCAAGGAGAAATGTCATGCGAAAGAAATGGCTGGAGACTACTGAACTGATTTAATTTCCAGTGAGGCAGAGATCTGAAGCCTCCCTCAGTGGCACCAGCACTGCAAGATCACAGATCAGAGACGCTGCAGGCTTCCCTTGGCACGGGAGGAGATGGGGAGGGCCAGGGACCCAGGGCCCAGCTCCACAGGGAACACTCTCAGCTCTGCTGAACAAATGGCCTGCGGAGGACAATGAGCAGCCACAGCCTGGAGCAGTTTCCTACTCCCTTAAGCTCAGCTCAGTCCTGTGGCACTCGAGCAGCAGTGTCACTCCCACTGCCATTCCTCCCATCCTGATTCCTGCAGCTCAGTGATGGCTTCATGACCAACAGACAGACTTTATCCACTGCAAATCTGAGAGGAAGCAATTTTAAACCATTCCCTGCAGTTTCATTCCCCCAGCCAAAGCCCACTTTGCTCCATCATCCCTTAAACTCTTCAATGATCATTACAAGAATCATGCTCTTTTTCTAACTCTTCAATTATCAGTACAAGAATCATGCATGCTCTTTTTCTAACTCTTCAATTATCAGTACAAGAATCATGCATGCTCTTTTCTAACTGGGGCTCCCCTAAGTCCGGGTCAGTTCCATAGTGGAATATTTGTATGTGAGTTTAACTGTTCCCACTCAGCATCTGGCAGAAAACTCTTCCTGCTGTGCCCTGAGCAACACCCAGGGCACCCAGCCT